CACAGGGGTCGCCTAAGACCATTGGAAAACACATATATAATTACATATTGTTTTGTGATTAATCACTATGCTTTTAATTATGTTCAATTTGTAACAATGAAATTGGGGATCACCACAACATGAGGAACTGTATTAAAGGGTCGTGGCATTAGGAAGGTTGAGAACCACTGATCTAGGTGATCATTTCATGCTAACTTGCTTATGATTCTGAATTTGAGTGGAAGTGTACCCATAGAGCCCTGGACTCTGAAAACAGGCCAGCTTTGATTCTCTTGGTGATCCCTTGTCCTCCATTCCTAGGACAGTGCACAGTGACCGGAACTGCAAGAACTCTCACAGCTGGCCAAAACGGGCTCTCTCCAAAGCCTGACAGTGACAGCAACGTCTGCTTCATTTGTTCTATACACAGTTTAACAAGTTTGTTTAATTTACACATATTTAAACGTTTGTGTTATTTAATGCCTATAATTGCATATTGTACTGATTGCTATATTTTCATTCTTCTCTTTGGAAGTTAAGGATCCACCAGTTCATAATCTTTTTTAGTTTTTGGTTGAGTTTTTTGTTAGGTTCCCCAAAATTGCTTTTCTGCTTTCATTCCTGACTGAATCCCTCCAATGCTCAGGTTAAGAATGATGCAATTGGAGCTCAGTTTTTTAAATTTCTGTATTGACAACTTGCTTACATTTCCCTTTTGATTGTTCCATTGGTGAGAAGATGGAACTCCTGCAGCGAATGATTCAGTGGGGGATGATGGGTGCATTGTATTGCTGGCCTCCTAAAGCATGATTGAGAGAGGGTGGTCACTTTTTTTTTTTTTTTTTTTTTTTTTTTTTTTGTACTGCTTACCAGCAAGAAGGTTCAGAAAACAGGACTTCTCACCAGGAATTCAAAAGCTGAAAGAATGTGGCTCCGGGCAGATGCAAAAGTTTCAGCATTGAAGGTGGGGTGTGAGAGGGAGCCCCTAAGAAAATTTAATTTTCTGTCTAAGAAGCCTAACACACATGAACAATTTCTCCTAGAGTAAGGCCCTTTCCAGTCCGGTCTGCTGGTGCTATAGAGCTGGTATTCCAAGTATGTCCATCTGCATTTAAACGAATTGCTCCAAGACAATCTGATTATGCAGTAGTTACTTTGGTGAGAATAGCGCCTCAGTGGAATGGAAACTTCATTTTGAGTCTAATATTAGACCTTGCTTTGGAAAATTCCTTTTAAATGATCACAAGCTGGGAATAGCAAAAGAATTTAACTTTCGACAGACAGCACTGACCAAGAATTTTTAACTGCTTATGTTTGGGTTCTTGGGAAAGCAGATGTGAGAAGCTCACCAGACTGAATTGACTCGACTGGAATTGACGTGACCCCGATGCGGTGTTTATATCTATTGCTGATAAGATTTTTTCCTAGTCTCGTTTGCTGAAAATATTTTCATTCTTTGAGCATGAGCATGCTAAGGATGAAAATTGTTAGGATGCCTAATTGTCTAACAATCTAACCTTCTAGGCTTCCAGACATTGTTGCCGCTCAAGGGGTCTGAGCCAAAGCAGGAAAGGCCAACCAACCTGCAGAACCCGAGGCAGTTTCTGAATGAATGCTGCTGGGAACTTGAGCAGACCTGGCCGTAGGGAATATTTTCGTGTAGCTGGCTGTGTCCGAGTGAACTCGGTGGACTCCTAGTTTAAAGTAAACTTTATTTAAAGGACTGCTCCTCCATCCTATCCCCCCAAAACACCCCATCCTGTGATTTAAAAAACACCCAATATACGTGTTAACTGATCATGGAATTTCTATACTATGTCTCCTTGGCTTAGTTTAGGATGTATTTCAGATGCTTCACATGCCCTGAACTGGAAACACCAATGTTGGTGTGAAAAATGTGTTTAATATTTTAAAAGATCTTTCTGAAATTGAAGTGCATCTTTTAGTCACAGTGCACATATAATGTAGTGGGGGTTTTTTTCCCCTCTGACTAAGCTGGTAATAAGTTGATGGTGCCTTAGACTTGAGGAAGGACATTAATAAATTAATAGGAGTTGCCCTGTATTGATCACCTCGTGGATCCCAGGCACTGTCTTTGCTCTCTCTGCCAACATTGTCTCTGACAGTCACTCTCTGCAGTCCTGCGGGCAGCAGTGATTATGAGCTTTCGGACGTGAGGAGACTGAGGCTCAGAAAAGTTGCGTAGTTTGCTTGTGACCACACAGCCAGTAATGGCTAATTAACTGGCAGTGCTGGAGTTCCAATCCAGGATGGTTCGGTTTGACTTCAGAGCATGTGTCCTTCCCTGTGGGTTATACTTTTTGGTATTTACAGTGTTTGACATTAAACCTGAGGCCCTGGCCAGGTCGCTCAGTGGGTTAGAGCATCGTCCTGATAAGCCCAGATTGTGGGTTTGATCCCCGGTCAGGGCACATACAAGAATCAGTCAATGAATGCATAAAGTGGAACAACAAATTGATGTCTCTCTCTCTCTCTCTCCCTTCCATCCTCTCTCTCTAAAATCTATACTAATAAAAGGGTAATATGCTAATTAGACTGGGAGACCTTCCGGACGTCCTTCTAGACAAAGCCATGGTGGCAGGGCCGAGGCAGAGGCGGTTAGGGGCAATCAGGCCAGGAGGGGAGGGCAGTTGGGGGTGATCAGGC